CTTTCTTCTTCTCCTTCTCCTTCTCCTTCTCCCCCTCCTCCTCCTCCTTCTCTTCTTCTTCTTCTTCTTCTTCTTCTTCTTCTTCTTCTTCTTCTTCTTCTTCTTCTTCTTTTCTCCCCCTTCTTCTTTTTTTGGAGAGGTTTTTGCTATAGGGTGCGTGTGTTTGCCAGAAAGACAAAGAGGCAAAGAGACAGAAAGTGAGAAATCTCCCCCCGGGGGGATGGCTATACCGCAGTCCTTTCTCCTCCTTTCTCCACTCAGGATCTTGGGCACGCACACACTTGTGCCTGGCGAGAGTTTAAGCCACTGGGTTCGAGACTTGAGCCATTATGCCATCTGCTGGTTTAGACCTATTAATCTTTTTCTTTGAGACCCCATTGTTGGGCTTTCAGTTCCATAGAGCTCTTCCATATGGCCATTTTTAGGATTGTCCATCAGAGAGCACATGTTTGACATTTTAAATGTAACTGTTGGTTAATGCTTGCTTTTGGGAAGACAACCACTTTTTCCATGCCTGAATAATGGTCAGTACAGATCTGAATTCTGTCACAGAATGAATGACATGACTTAGGAGGAGGTTTGATTGAGGCCAACAGCCAGCAAAATTGAAACAAGTGAACCTGAGTCTGGTCAGCAATCTTACCTATTGTCTTCACTCCCTCATCATGCAATCAAGGGACCACCAGGGTGACTTGCCAGGATACTATTCTCTGAAATGACTCATCGTGTGTGCTCAACTAGGGACTTGAGGGGACGGACCAGTGATTCCCCTGAAAAGTTAGAGTCTTGTATAAATAATCCATTAGAACTCTCTGAAAGTGCTGGGTGGCATCTTACAGCATCTTCTGAGACTCATTGGCATGACTGGCAAGGTGCCACATTGGACCCTCAGACTCTTGGAAAGATCTGATAGCACTGCCTGAGAGTGCCCCAAAGACTTTTTCAGTTATCTCCAGAAAGTGCTCTGGAGGAGCTTCAGGGATTTTGATGTTCCACAAAGGCATTGTGCTTCATTGACCAATCTGCTTCCTGCACCAATTTATTGGAGAAAGAGAGCTGCCAGGTTTTGAGTTGATCAATTAAGATAACAAGTAATACTGAAAATAATAACTGAGTTTATTCAAATCCTGTGGTAGTATAAGGAAGAGTCTGAGGAGTAAAGGGACCAAGTTTTACCAATGTTTCACTTTTCCTACAGAATGACATCAAGTCAGTGTCATTTGATGAATCAGAACAACACAGGAGGGAATGTTTCACAGAAAGTATCCCCAAACAAAGCACGCATGTTATTTTGTAGACTCCGGCACAATAGGGAAGTAGTGGAAGAAGGACTTTAAACTGAGAGGTACTGACTTAGAATAGAGAAAGGATTTTCAAGACCCCTAAAATAAAGTGGTCTTGAAATAGGTATCTGAACGATGCAATGCCTTAGCCATGGTCTCCTCCTTCCCATAAGCTTCGCAATGGAGATAACTGGGCTATAAGACAAATATGGTCAGTCAGATGGACCTTAGTCCATGACTGAAACTATGTCCAGTGTCTGTAGGTCTGGCTGTTGTCAAGTTTTACATGGGATGTGAAGATTTCTCCCATGATATCTGCCAGGTAAAACCCTTATGATTATCTAAAGTTGGGCCTGAAAGATCACACCTAGGACTTTTGCCTAATGCTGGACTTCTCAGTATATATGCACATACATGTTTATACACATATAAAAATATATACATGTACATACATATGAGGGTATTTCAAATCAGTTTGTGGAAAAAATGGAATTAAAGTAGTTTATTCACTTTCTGACTGAAAAGATAGCATTCTAGATTTTCTTCACTTAACATTATTTCCTAGAGAGCCATTTTGGGGAAACAGAAATCAAGACTTCCCACTGATAATTCGGCCTCCAGCACACAAAACTCACGTGATTTAACTTGCAAGTTTGGGAAGAAAGTGACCATCAACCAGATGACTAGAAATCGCTGCAGGACCACAAGACATATGGGAAAGCAGGAAAATACCTCTTCTCCAAGGGAAAAGGATAACTCCTCTTCATCCACACACAGTTCAATGGAATTCATGGAAATGTCTGATAAAGAATTCAGAACATTCATAATGGCAAAACTAACAGAGATGGAAGAGAAGAGAGACAATGAACTGCTGAAGAGGAAGGAGAAAGAAGTTGTCGAGTTCCAGGAGGTGAGGAAATTCATG